AAAAGTGCAACAGTTTTCTAACATTCCAGATTTTCACTTGCACATCGCATGTGTGTACACTCACCTGCATCTACTGAATTGTTTAGTAAAACAACTTAATAGAAGGTGCAGTATTGATACATGAGGAAGAAAAAGGGAATTAACACTAATTGACATTGGCTTTAGGTATCCAAGCCAGGCTTGTTTTCATGCCAGAGACTTATATTTGTGGCTCACAATGGAAAATTGAGTTGAGAAAAATTAGGGACAGAGACCAAATTTCCTTTGCTCTGATGATAACTCAGACTCTGTACAATAATTGTGTTTTCTATTAGAAGGAATATGCTGTGCCCTAACACTCATGAGAGAAAATAGTGATTGCCAGTAATGCCATGAGGAAACGATTTTTTGAATGTTTCAGAGTATAAGCGTGAATCCCTCATTAAATGGGGACTATGACTTATTTTGTGGACTTGGAACATCAAGGATACATTTTTTTTTTAGGTAGAATTATTCTTGGAAAGTATGAGTTTTGATGTTAGGAACATACAAAGAACATAGTAATCAGAAGTGCACGGGAGAACTTTTCATTAAAGTAAATAAGGACAGCGCTGAGGTTCTGAAGACATGAAGCAGGTGTCCTCTGTCAAGGAGAATGGACTGGGAGAAGCCAGGGAGTGGGCCGGCTTCAGGAAGCCATGACCTCAGCAGGAGATGCCACCTGCTTTCTGAACCAGAGGGCACAAGACCCTGAGGGCACTTTACACCTTGGCAGTTGATTGCGAGGATGAAAGTTACACTGGTGTTTTTAAATGTTATTTTATTGTGAATATTCAAGAAAGAGCAAGGACTCCATAACTGCATTAAAGTGATAGAAAAGCCTTTTTCATTTATCACCAACCTATTCTTTATAATGTTGTTCACTCTAAACTTTGCTGCCAAAGGGAGCTCACGTATGAATTTGGATTATGGGCAGTGTCTTTTAGTCACTTAAGTGGCTTCCAAACATAACTGAACAATACAGATTTAAAGTGTGTGGATTCACAGTTCGCTTTAAAAGCCACAGATTTTCTTGTAACCTGACAATAGTAAGAGAGTGCCTTTCTAGAAATATTTTTTATTCTTATGACTTTCCTAGCTTTCTCTAACTTTACTATAACAGTATACAACACACACAGCATACACAATGTGTATTAGCCCACTGTGTATGTTATCAGAAAGGCTTCTGGTCAACAGCGGACAGAGTTTTGCAGAATCGGTTATGTACAGACGGTGCAGGGACTCGGGTGAACTGGGCTATCCGCTGAGGACAGTGAATGGATCCACCACAGGTATGTGCTGGGAGGAGTGAAGGAAGAGAGTAGGATGTGTCTGGAAATGACCTAACACGTTATTTAAAATGCAACTTCAGGTTATGTGTATTGCTTGAGAATAGAGCAACTGAAAAATAACATTTGTTGCACTTCTGTGATATTACTTGGTGAATCACTGAGCCAAACCACAAATGTATAAAAAGTTCTTATTCTGTTTCAGTTTAAAACTGTATGAACAGAATCCCAGAGAAGAGAAAGGACTGACCCATGGTCCCATATTCACTTTTGGCGTAAGGGCTTTATTTACCTCGGAGAGATAAACTTTGGGAGGCACTTATAATGTGGCACCTGGCTGCACTTTGCACCACGAACTTATAGTAGTCTGGCTTTGACAATAGCCGGCTATCCAGTTGCCACAAAAGTATAATGGAGAGGTGGGGAGGCCATGTTTGCTTCCTGCCGGTGTCAGCTGTCCATGAACTGATCTCTACAGTAGTGTTACCCCCAACTTCACATTCTTTGTAAAGTATAAAAATTGATAGACACACATGTCAACCAACAGGCTGCAACAGAGGACCCCCACTCTGGAGGGTCAGGGAACTGTCTGGATGTTAATCACACAGCACGCCCTACAAGAGAATGTGGGCACTTAGTTTTTAAAAAAGATTATTTGGAATACACACTTAAACTCTTCTGTGGGTCTGAGAAAATTTCTGTGCAGAGTGATTTAGGGTATGAAGTTATGTAGCACAACCACACACCAAAAACAAACACATAAACAACACATACTTGTACCTGGATTCCTCCTCCTCTGCTAGGCATAGTTAGGCTGTGGGGATTTTTATGTGTTTCAGTTTATTCATCCTTATTTTAAGCCTAATGCTCACTCCGATTACTTTCCAGAAATATAAGGATCAAATTATGTCAAGAGGAAAAGTTGTGCTGAGACATTTGGTTCAAAGGCTGTTTGTAGTTTTATTTCATTACAATAGCATTTGGTTTTTAGTTGAGCAAATTATGATTGCACCAATATTTCTTATTAAAAAATAGTTTCCTATTTTTTTATGAGTAGAAATGTTACATACACTTTTGATCACAACTGAAATTGGGTGTTTAACTTTACTCCCCAAGAATTCTGCTTTCTGAATCAGTGAGGTTTTTACTTTAACAAATGTTTTTTCAGTTTAGGGTTCTATATGATGACCATACTCTCTAGAGTAAAAAGTGTGGAAAAAGGTGGCTGACCTTGAGGAATATACAATTGCTGTGCTGGAATTCTTTCAAGGTTGAAATGAAGTAATAAAATCAGAAATCATGGAACAGTTTCTAATTTCAAAGACAGACTGTCTGACCTTGCTTAGATAGTTCAGGTAGAAACCAAGAAGGAGCATGGAGAAGGAAATTGAGTTCCCATCCAGGTGACACACAACCGCAGCAGCTCCCAGTGTGACATCTGGAATTACAGTGTGGGCCAGTCACCTTGGCCCAGGAAGCACTCACCTAGAGAGGTTTTTCTCCTGCTATCTGTTTTATTTGAAAAAGTCCTGATTGAGCTCTGCAGCCCATTCTCACACTTTCTTTCTTGGTTCTTTATGTACCTGAAATAGAAAGAATTCTTTTATCCTAACAAATTGTAGGTTCTGATACACATTTGGTTCAATGTTTTTGAACAAGTCTTGTAACAAGGGTAACTTCCTGGAGACCTGGGCTTACCGGTATTTTGGATACTTTGGTACATGGTTCAGACTCCAGAGAAAGGGACTGAACATGGATTAAGGCATTCTGGAGTGCCTGGTATGCTGCCTTTGTCAGTCACCTCCCAGCTCACCTATGCCATACATGATCGTTTTCCATGTAATATTTCTTCAGTCCTGGCTGGAAAGTCTGTTGACTAGGCAGCAGTAGTCTAGTGGCTAAGGTGACCTGTTCTATAACCTGCCAGCCTGTGTGAGAGTGTGTGTGGTGTGTAATATTAAATATCAGCAGTTAAATTGAGAATACTTATATTTTAGAGGTGAGCTGGCTTTAGTCAATGGCTGGGAAATGAAAGTGTCATGGTGTGGTAGCCAGATTGATCCTGGTATCACCCGATGCTGTTAAATAGGATGGAGGTCACGGTAGGCTGAGGTGTTGTCTTGCGCTGATTGCTTAAGTTTTGAGGAACTTGGTCTATTTTTTTGTTTTGCCAGTGACTTCAAAATGTGGGATAAAGAGAGGAAACCATTTAACATTTTTTTTTTACAATTGAGAGAAGCAGGGCGTTGCCCAGGGCAACTGCCCTCTACCTTACTTCCTTGGGGGGCATGATGTTGGCCAAAATTTTAACTAGCCTGAGTTATCCGGATCTGTAAATTGTGGATCATGACATTTTGAGGCTTAAAGAAATAAGATCCTGGAACAGTTTGTTGTCAAGGGAGACGCTGTACATGGTGGTGATAGCTAGAAGCCGCCTCAGTAGTTACAGTAGTTCACACCTCCCTAGGGTTCGAACAGGATTTGGGGTCAGTATCATCAAGGTACTCCAATTTAATGGCTATGTTTGTGTGCCATTGAACCTAGGGTTGGGGACGCCTACACCTTTGAGCAGAGCTGTGGATGCAGTTTCCCCCATGTTCTCCCCCTCAGGATTCTACCTCAGATTCAGAGGCTTCTCCAGGTGACCCGCATCCACTGCCTTTGGCTCCTGTTCTCCCTCTCCTGGGAGCACCGTCTCCTATAGGGAAAAGGAATGAAAGAAAGTGTGAAAAAGGGTGTCCATTCCCCAAAACTGGAGCTTCATGCAGATACTTTGCACTTCATTTCTGCCTGGCATGCTTCTTGCCTGCTGTCATAGCCTGAGCATTTTTATCATCATGACGCCACCAGCTAAGAGTGTTCACCGAAATAGAGGGCCTCAGGCCACGCCAACTTCCCCTCCTGGTTCCATGCACACTCTGCCTTTGCCCCACTGATGCTGACAGCCTGCAATGTGCCACATAGCCAAGCTTCAGAGGGCAGTGGGAGAGCAAGGGCGGAGAATGTGGTGTGCAGCGAGAGTGTTTTTTCCTTCAAATCAAAATCCCCTTAGTCTCCCTTTTAAGCCTTGTATTAGAGGGCTTTATAAGAGGCAGCTAGACTAGGTCCTGGTGTTGCTAGGTAGCCAGAAGAAAGTCATTACTGATATTGGAACAACTGGATTTTCCCTGGTACCTGGCTACTCTTGCTGGGTGACTAGTAGTGTCACCACCGCTAGGCCTGAGGGTCTCCGCAATGCTCTAGCTGCTTCTCCCCACTTTTTGCCAACATGTAAAGTCCCAGATTCTGTCTTGGACCCTGAAGATCAAGTCTGGCCTTGACATATTCTGAGATAAGGTAGTACACAGAAACAAATCTAGTTTATTGGACACAACTATATTTCCAAGGCCTCGAGCCCATTTTTCAACTAAGTGGGCTCTCTGTCTCTGCAGTAGCTGTGTTTTAACAGCCCACAAATGGTGGCAAGCCTGTGTTTGCTTGGGTCTTTTCTAGGATTATTTCCTAAAGGTAATTTTTAGCCGCAGGAGACGTGTGTACACACAACAGGACATAGCTTAATGCTGCTGATTAAATCATCAGACACCACTCTGGTCCTTTCTGCCTGGGCCCAGCACTGCCAGAAACACGATTCGGAATGCTTGTGCGTCGCTGGGGTCTGACCCGCCTGTAACCTGCTCTGTCTGTCTGTTGCAGATCTGGACACCTTTCCACCTGCGGACCCACCCCTCCTCGACTCACATTCTCACCGCCCTTCACCGCAGACATCTATAGCAGAAGCAGAGCTCAATTTAAAGACAGTGAGCAGACAAGATGAGCAGGCTGGAGATGGAGCCGAAGAAAATATTGTTTACCTCTAACTCTGTTATTTTTCCAAACAAAACTCTGGCACTTTGGGGAGCAACTTTTTTCCTTTCCTGATATATGTGTGTCGGTGTCCAAATTGCTTTAAGAGTAATATTTAATATTTCCTGCAAGGTCATTTTGGAGGCATGACTAATAATTAAATTATTGAGAGCAGCTCTGTTTGTTTAATAATAACTTACCACACCTAATTTCAGATTTCTGGAAGGGAAATGAAGCAGAAGTATTTAAAAGATTTTATGACTCTAAAGTAAAATGCATCATACTGCTCTTTCTACTGGATCCCCTGGCTTTGGAAATCACTTTAAAAATCTAGCGAAGCAATTTGGATGGAAAGAGTGATGTTTATCATGGGCAAACTTGTCACACTCGCGGCAACAGATTGTGGGAGTGGCCCTGGTACCCAAGAGGACCCGGAGATGTGGGCAAATCCTTCCCTCTCGCTGTGTGTCTGACTTCTCTTTGAGGCATCGAAATGGTCACTCTTGGTGATGATCCGTCATTCTACAACCAGCGTGTCCTGCCTGGGCCACGTACTTTGCAGACTCCCTAGCTCAGTGGTTCTAATGCTATGAGCTTCCAGGCCACAGGTCAGCAGCACCTGTTAACACAAGCCTGAGGCCCAGCAAGCCCCATGTAAATAGCAAAACTCCAGTAGAGTCAGCTGCCTTGTCTCCCCACCCAGGGCACCTGCTCCACCGCTCTGCCCCGTGGTTCAGGCAAAGGTGCTCCCCCAGTGCAGCTGGCTGCGGGGTGTGCACTCCAGAAAGCATACCCTGCCTTCAGGGTGATAGGCATCTGTGTGAGAAAATGAACCAGGAAATGTTTTCAGCTCATTCTTCAGAAATATTTGTATATGTTTTGGTCAGTGTCAATAAATATCTTTTACCTCACTGTTTGGCTTTGTAATTTTAATATGGTGTAGGACCATAGTAAAAGTTGCATTTCACACACAAACACCACCTCCCACTAAGAAAAGTGAAAGGGAATATTATTAAATTCACCCAGAATTGCACAGCTCAGCTCACCAAGGGGGGCGACTTGATCAGGGAAGGGAAGTCGCCTAGGCTCCCTTGTTTTATTTCCATTTTCCTATTGAAAATGGCTACTTGAGTATTTCCATCTGTTCATGTGAACAAGTCAAATCTTAGCTTTAAATAAACCCTTTAGGGAACACTCACCATCTAGCTCCTGCTGGTCCTCGCCATTTTGGTCTCAATCATTTAACGCATTCAGGATCTTCACAGAACAGGACTTAATTGAAATTGTATTCCTTTAGTCACCTCCAAGCTGAACTCCTAAATCATAAATGTACCTTCTGTTTCTAAAGAGAACTAAAGAGAAAAATCTAGCTTCCCTTTCTGTCCAATAAAGCCTACCCCAGAATCCTGTTACCTCTTCAATAAAACCAGGTATTTCAATCTAAATCCTTGCTCTGATAACAACACATGCTGTCCTTTTTTATGGACTTCTAAAATGTGTGCTCAGGCCTGATTTTCAAGTCTTGTGCAGTCACCCGAGGGAGTCTCAGCATCTTCTGTGATACCTGCATTCATGAGAACCACTCGGTAAATTTCCTATTTAAAATTAAGACTTTTCAACTGAACATAACTGAATTGCAAAGCTTCCTGGACAAATTCATCCTTCTACTTTGCTCTTACTCTGTGATGAATTCAGATCTCAATAAAGGTCACCCCAAGGCACAAATAAAAATTAACCTTAAGACCAACCTGTTTCCTAGCATCATACCTTTCCCCCACAAAAGGATGTGTCATGGAGAGAGAACCCTTGGCTCTGCCCCTGCCAGGCTGCCTGGATCCAAGCGTCATCTCACTGATGGTCCCAGCTACACAGCAGTCACTGGAGTCGTGTGGCACTTCCCAGGCGCCATCCCAGCCGGCTTACTCAGAAAAGGGTAAAAACGCAGCTGCTGCGGAGGGTGGCGGAGTGTGTGTGAGAGTTATGTAAGGTGCTGAGTGTGATTAAGCCAGGGGAGGACAGATAAAGAAGTAAAAATGCATTCTTCCCTGGGGCTAGGACCTCGGGCCACCTTTCAACTTAGAGTAGCCTTTAAGGGTGAACCCACCTCTGTCTTCTCTCTGGGAGGCTGAGCAGTAGACAGTATGTTTCTGAGCCAGAGCTTCCGCTTACTGGCTGTGTGTCCTCGGCATGTCACTCACCTCCTTCACCTGTAACACAGGGATGATTATTTTATACAATTGTGGTGACAAATGATGACTATAGGCAATGCACTTACAGCAGCCCTGAGATGATACTCAGTAGATGCTAGTTATTGTTATTTGTTATATTATTTGAAAAATATTTTAATAACTGTTCAGCATGCAGAGGGGCTAGACAAGGGATAGGAACCAAGAGGAAGGCAGCAGTGGGTCATGGTGGTGGACATGGCCGTGTGTGTGCTACAACAGTGATACCTGATGGGGGAATCCTAAAGTTACCTCAATTAAAAAAAAAAAAAAAGTGAAATAGGGCCCTCCCTGGTGTTGCAACAGGTTAAAGCACAGCAGCACTATGAAGCTACTGCACCCATTGCAGTACACGTTTGCTCCCCAGCCCCAGAGATGACCCATGTGGCCCAGCAGACCTCTCCTGTCTCACCCACTGCTCCCCTCAGCAGTGTTTTTCAGTCCATCTGCTTGTCCTGCTCCCCACTCTATCTCTGGTGAATCCTCTCAGTCCCTGCACCTCTGGCCTGTACCCCAGTTCTGTATGTATAAAATAAATCTTAACCAAAAAAAGTGAAATTGCTCCCCCATTGCCAGAAACAGAGTTTAAGTGATTGGAGATAGTTGTACGAATAGACTATGGTTTCCTAAATTAAGCTTTCAACTTACTTGCATTTTTAAACCTCTACTCGATTCACTCAATATTTATTCCCAGTCAGCTAAAGGCAGAGCAATCAAACACATAAAGATAAACTTAAAAGTTGTTGACAGAGATGGAGGACTATAAACTGGGAGCTCATGTATAGAGCTTTTTGAGGGGTAATATTTTGAATATAGGGAGCATGCCATAAAGTAGAATGTAACTGAAACTGGAAGGATAAAGACAGAATGGGGAAAAAGACACTCCAAGCAAGACGGCAACCCAAGTAGAAGTCCAGAGTCATGAGACAAAAGACGTGAGAGAGGTTGGCGTGCAGTTGGGGCTGCTCTCACTACCTTCCTCCCCTTTGATTCAGTGGTCAGTGAGCACTCTTTTACAAGGGGGGGGAACACAGATGTCCTCTCTGGTAAAGCCAGCCTGTGGAGGATCATGTCCCTTCATCCTGCCACACCCAAGCCCACCAAAAAGCATGTGGCACTGGACAAATGGCTACTTGGATGCCTGCCTACGTGACTGCAAGCCACAAGAAAGTAAAGAGGGTCCTGGGAATACCTGAGATGCTAGCTTAAGCAGAGGGGCCCGAAGATGTCTCGGGAGCTCCTGTGGAATGAAGTGATTACTTATGGGAGTCTGGGCAGAATTTTAAGTGGAGAGAGAAAAATGACAGATTTTGCTCTTCTGCTGTATTCATTTTTAAGTCAACTCTCATGCTCTACTACTCCACCTTAACCTACCACTCAGGGATTTGTAAAGAATAGAAAAAAGAGTAGGAAAAAATGAAGGTGCGGAAGGGCTACATGGGAAGGAAATTTCCAGAGTGATCCTGTGATTGACATCAAGAGTTCACCATGTTCACTACTGTCTCTCATACACAGTATCCTTCTAGTCTCTGAGAGAGGCCAAAAAAAGAAAAAATGTATGGAAATGTCACCCAAACTGGGTCCTGCTCAGTGAAATCCCCAGGCCCATGGGGATTGTACAACCTCTCAACCTAGCATCTGAGTTAAGTTTTCTTGCCTATGAAGTAGGGATAAGAATATCATGCCTTGCCAGGCTGTTGTGAGAACTAAGTAAGCTAAAGCCAATACAGTACCTGGCACAGGATAAGCATTCTGAAATGACACTGTAAATGCTGGTGATAGGATAGGAGAGGCAGGATTGAGTCAGGCTTGAGACCAAAGTAGCTGGGGTCTCATAACTTCAGTTTTCCAGGAATTGCTTCCCCTGTCCTGAGTGATGTCCAAGGTGAGACCTGCTGTGAGGCTGGGCTCACAGTAAGAGCTTCATGCTACGTATTGAAAGGAGCAGGGAGTGGGTACACAAGAGGCTTTGGAAATCTGCGACCAAAGAGGCAATAGAACTAGACCTAGATTCCCGATCCTGTCCCTGTTACATGTCTTTGCTTGGGCTTGTGAGTTCAAAGCAATCACTTCAACTTGATGATTGAAGATCGTTTTGGGTGAAATAACTTGAAGGGGGACTACGGTTCTGTAGTTTTGCAGAAGCTTCATGGCTGAAAAACTTCAACATGCTATTAATTGAATCCTAGTTGTTTCGCTATCCATGAAACTCTTTGAAAAGCAGAATGTCAGGAGTTTTAGATACTGCCAGCAGCCAAGAGTCTCATAGCATGCAACTGTATGTTGTGAGGGCAAAGGCTGAATTTGGTGAGACAATAGGGTTATTCTTTGACAATTTTACTAGATACTATATTTGCATTATAGAACTGGCCCGTGTTCCTGCAAAGCCTCCAAGCCCCACTTACCCCACAGAGCCCTCTTTTCACTGTAGTCTCAGAGCCCCCCGCAGCCTCCTACTCAACTTAACTTCACCCCTGGGTATTCCAGGGATAAACAGTTCTCAGGATGGATGCCCCTGGGCTGCAGAGAGTTCCAGCTACTGGGAAAGGTTTGGGAAGGTCCAGGTTTCAGTGGAGGCTCTGATATCATAAAATGGGTCTGATTTGTCTAATAAAATATGTTTTTACTTGCTCAGGAAACATTCCCTAAGTTCTTTTATTTTCCCTCCTCAGCAATTTTGGGTCCACTTATTCAAAGAAAGAAGCAGTGAAGGGGAAGAGAGAGAGAACTCTGATGAATGGTTTACTTCTTAACAACTTAAGTTAAACATTTCATGATGGGAGCTGGTATAGACTGAAATGCCATTTGGGGGTAAATGCCTGGCTGCATTTAACTCATGCTCTCTTTACCACCTCTCCCCCAAGGCCTCCCCAACTCCCCCCAGCCATGTGTAATGTCTGAGCAGGTTTTCTGGGTAGTTGTCACTGCTTATTTTTCCAATCTCTAACATAACAGTTTCAAGTATAAACACAAACATAGCCAGCATCAAGGAGAGCATCTGCACAGGCTGTAGACCTAAAACAGACTCAGAATGTGCTTGACATTCCCTGGCAGCGGTCACGGCCTCCTTGGAAAGCTTAGTCCAGTTCTCTGCTGCTGCGGGCACTCATCTGGGTAAGCCGCTGGCAGGTGCCTGCACAGATGACAGGCTTTTAATTAAGGTCTGTGTCGTTGAAGGCCAGCAAACACACCACCTGATGAGTTTTTAACACTTGGATTTCTTCTAAAGACCCTCCAAACAAAAACTGAATCTTCCAATCAAAGGAGCCATGGCCATTCATCTTCGATATCTCAGGAATTTGTACATAAGAGCAGAAATGGGATTCTCTCTTTTTTTGGCCATACCTTGAAAAATTAATGTTACCTTGTTGATTTTATTATGGTGGTGCTGGATGTAATCTCCTAAATTGGACTCTCCATGAATTCACCCACCCTGCAAAGTTCTCATTACAGCTGACACTAGAATTAATGTAAACCTATTTCAGGACTGGCCATAGTTTGAGTCACTCACTCACTTAGAGGAAGATTTTCGAATGCGGAGGTGGAGTCTGTGAAGTATCGTTGCTATGGAGACCATGTGCGAGCTGGATTAATTAAGGCCTGAACAGATGTTGTGAAGTGCGCAGAATGCACTGTTTTCTGTTAGTCATTAAAGAGGGTACGTGTGTACGTGAGGGAGGAGAAAA